TTTTAATAAAACATTTTAAACCTGCAGTGACGGGGTGCATCTCTGCAACGACAGGGTAAGGGTTTCAAGGCTTTTAAAAGTCATAAATATATATACATATATTCATTCGTGATGTGCAGTGCTTGTCTCAAAATTATATAATAGTATGTGTAGTATAGTTTATGTCCGGGAATATTGTTTCTACGTTATAAGCACGTCTTGTGTGACGTATCGAACAATTAATTTTACGTGATTTTTAAATTTTAGAACCATCGTATATTATAATACTATAGAGTATAATAAAGAAGCTATTGGTTTTGTTAAAGAAAGTGTTTTAAATTTTTTTTTTTATATATTTATATGTATGTATCTGTGGTTAGTAAATACGCTCTAAAAACATTTTCACCATTTCCACCTTAAAACGTTCCTATCTATGCTTTATCATTGCGTTCAGTATAATAATATAATATATATATATACACGAGTATATATACTATAAACCAAGATAATGTTGTTCAACCTTGCTGACTTTGCACATACAATAGTTAGGAAAATCATTATTAACAAAATAGGGTTCAGAGTGAAGTTCGGTAGTTAAACGTATTTGGAAATGCCGTGATTTCTACGATTTTCGTTAAATATTAACTTAAAATATATATAAAAAGAACATTACAGCTAGTATGCATAATATCACAAAAAGATACTATACTTGAAAATTGAAGTAATATTTCTGGTAGACAAGTTGTTAGCAGATAGAAAAAAGGAATATATCATAGTAAAACCAATTCTCGCTGAGCTTATAATCTATTATACGTATTTTTATATATCTTATTTTGTAATTATAGTTACATTAATTATGCACTTAGAAAATTAATTTTCCCGACATATTATTATATTGTTTAATTTTATTTCGCTTTCACCATTTGTTCCAAATAGTATATAAATCGTTTCGTTTTATTACTTATACTTGTGTATGGTTTTTGCGCCGATGTAGTAATCTTATGTATAGTTTACAGTACTAAATTCTTTAATATTGTTATTTGACGTTCAATTCTGGAGTTTATCTGTATAATAAGTTATTTCTCGTTTTATCATCGTTCACCGTTGAAATAATCGATCCATGTATTTATTATTTATATATATTTTAGTGTTTAGTGTTACTATATATACTTAATATTATGGTCTACGGTACATTACTTAATTTATTATCTGCCAATATTTCCAAAATAAATCGCGAAAACCGGCAAGATTGATGGTTCTCTCTTAGCAATAATTTTTGTTTTAATCTGTGTTGACAGCTGGTCTTACTATAATATAAGATCTATATAATAGTAATAGTATCTTCAATTTTGTTCGTTATTTTTGCACTATATTAATATTTAATACTAATGGAAAGTTGTATAAAACTTTATACCAAAGGTCCCCCTTCCTAACAGTATTATGTCAAATATAATTTAGATGTTATACTGATATAATTAGTGAAAATGGTTTCTACTCAACATCAAGTAAATTAATACCATTAAGAATACTTTGAACCATTTTGTTCTCCGTTTAGATGTTTAGAAAATGTATTTTTTTCCTATTATACGACCTTTGATTTTATTTGTTGTTCACGCGATCAGAAGCTGTTAGTCTAGTGGCATTTTCCGTTTCTATCTTTTTAATAGGCAATATATAAAAAAAAAAAAACACGTGTTTACGTAAAACAAACAAAAAACTTATGGAATTAGTTTTAGAGATAACATATCTATTATGCAATTTGTAGATGAACACTTTTTGAAGACAACCTCATCGGTGTTTTATAATTATCTAAACATTTTAACTCATCATCAAAGTTACAAAAAATCGTATTTTATATTTTTTTTTTGTTTGTAATAATTGTAATTTGTGTAATAGTTAACAGTTCAAAACTGACAACGAGAATATCTTAAAATTGTGTTCAAAGTTTAACAGTAGGTTTTCATTTTTTAAATCGATTTAAAAAGCCATTTCATTTGTTTTGCATGAACGCATTTTAGCTATATTGCAGTCCATTAGAAAAACAGAGACGGTGTTTGAATGTAAAATATTCATGCAGGATATTTTTACGATTTTTCTCATATGAAAATTTTTGAATAACGACGAATAGCTGTGAGGACGTTCGTATTATTATTATAATATTATTTTTATACAAATTAATTTATATTTGTACGTAATGTTTAAACCGCGCGTCTGAGAATAAAACGCTAATGTAATGTTAACGTCCTGGTGTGCATCCAAGGGGGTGGGAAAACAAATTATATCTTTTGTCTTTTGAATGTGTTATCATATCTACATGACTGTATGATTTTCAGTCCAAAAATAACATCGGCGTTGAAATTTAAAGACATAGATGATCTTATACAACTTTGTTAAGATTTTCAAAAAAAAAAAAACTTGGAGAAAACTTAATAATATACGGTATACAGTACTTAAACTGCTGCTTGTTGTCTTTGTAAACAAAAATTGTAGTTCTCCCTTTCATTTAAGATTTGCGATCGATACCGCCTAAAACTCAAATATTGTACAGTTTAGAAATCGTTTATGATTTAATATGGGTATACAATGTATACATTATAATTTTATGTACTATACACAAAGTATAATAATATTTGATTTTATATTCATGTGGATAAAATAGCCTTAAACTTGTTTCGTGTAAAACACAACGGCAGAACTGTTTGTTTTTCGACAAAATTATAAAGTTATGGCCCATCGACTTAAATTTAACAACAAATAATATTATAGCACTAAAGATTTGGTTGGTCGCCTTTTTATTATTTACTGCAACTATATACCAAGTACCAGTAACCATAATGATATCTACCCCTGCTACAGTATACAGTTACTATTATTTTTTTCTAACTGCCTTTTTTTTTTCTGTTTAACAAATCTTATTTCGACCGTGTTGACTCTGCGGCAGGTATGTATAGGGAACTTATTACGCGCGTGGGGTATAAAAAGGCTCACGCATTAATGCTTTTTATGTGTACTTACATAATATATAACTTTTTTTTTGTAAACAATACATTATTCACTTAAGCGTTTGTATTTTGGGTTTTTTTTTTATTTGTGAATTTTAATAGCGTATATCACTAACATATACGGGTACCGTGCAAACATAATATTTGCGATATTTTTTTATTATAATAATAATTATACCTATATAATACGTATGTATCTCGTGAAATAGAAAATAATAATAGTAATATTTTATCGGTTCGTTAAATTGTATATTTATTCAAACTCGTTTGGGGAAAAATCGCAGTACATTCAGTACGCATAATTTTGAATATAAAACGAGGGTTATCATTTAAAAATTGATAGGTTTAGCAGTTGATATATATATTTGTCTAACGATACGATAATAATATTAACATATTATTTTATAATTGTGTGTGCGTGTGAGTTTGATGTGTGTTAGGGTACAATACATAATATTTATAGTATATTACATCGTAAATGATCCGCAGGTGTCTCTCTCCCTTAAATAATTATAGTACTTTTTATAATTGGTCCATAGTTGTTTTTTTTTTTCAATAACGGTCAACTATAAAATTAGGTTATTTTTTTTTTGAATTTAAAAATCAATTTATTGGAATGTCTGCTTAAGATAGGATAAATTTAAATAAACGAATTAATATTCTCGAAATTATTGTCACATTTTTAGAATTTGAGTCTAACAAAAGAAGATATTATAAAATGTTTTACTAAAATATGCTTTTTATCTGAAAACATTTTTTTGTTTATTAAAAACACTAAAATTCTTTCAAGTTATTTTTTTGATCTCAACAGTTTTTCTAAACAAACTTAAAAAAAAAAACTGACAATTAATTGGTATGACATTTTTTGATTTTTGAGCTACCTTGGTTACAATGGGGAAAATATTACCATTACCGTATTATCTTAACAGTTTACAATCATAATTAGTTTTAGTTACAATGAATATTGTACCTTTCAGTATATACAAACTACACTATATCCTATACTTTTCCAACTGCTCATAATACACATGGCGTGAAGTATATATAACTTTTTGTTATTATGATTTAGTTAGAAGGTAAATAATAATTAGTGAATTCACTTAATTTTAAAAGAGTTCTAAGAGTCCAATATATTATAAATTAGTCAAAGATTCTTTGGAAATTGTATTACTATGAAATATGTCTATTCGCATTCGGCTAAGAAATTAGAATACGAATGGAAATGTTTATGCCATAATATTATAGCATTGAGTAATAAAATAAATAAATATTTATTAAATTTTACATTTTTTTTTAAATTTATATCTATTCAATTTTTCGGAAATGATAGTAATAATAATAATAATAATATTAATAATACAACAATATACATATACCGACAGAAAGACTTAATTAAAGATGGATTGATGAAAACGATAAAAAATTAAAAGATGGCTAAAGGGGTATAATTACCCCCAGGGGGACACTCAGTGTTACGGGTTTAGCGAACCCAGGATCCTATCATCCAATACACTGCGAAATGTTTTGCAATAGCCCCACGCTGACCTTAAGTTGTTAGTGTGGTATGGTCCTCCAATTTTGGGGATTGAGCTTCGGGTTAACAATCCAACATTGTAAAAAGTAATCAGTTAAGAAACCATCAAAAAAGTCTCGGAATCGGATTGAGAACGGCAAATAACTGGAATCGGGAAATGGGCTACGTATAGGGACATGGAACGTTAGAACACTTAAAAAACTTGGAGATTTTTAATGTGTACTCGATGCTTATAATAACTATACAATTGACATATTAGCAGTACAAGAGATCAAATTGCTAAATAGTGGAAACTTAAAGAAAAGAAATGAAACACTATTCTACAGTGGCACCACTAACGAAAAATGTGAAAATGCAATAGGGTTTATGATACTCGACAAGATACTACTAAACGTAAAGACTTTCTCAGTCTTTAATGATAAAATTTGCCATATCCGTATAGTGGGAAAGATACAGTGGTTAATAGTGCAACAGAGGTTTTGGGAATGGTACTCAAAGAAAATAATACAATTTGGATCAACGACATATGTAAGAATGCAATAATCGAAGGGAACGAACTGAGGAAAAAAGCACTACAAAATCCATCAGATAAAAGTGTAAGAAAATATGAAGAACAGAGAAAATTGACCAATAAAACGTTAAGGAGAGAGAAACATCTACACGAAAAGAAGAAAATAGGGGAAATAGAAATTAATAGATACAATGCAAAAAAGTTATATGAAATAGGAAGAAAAAGTTGGTTTTAAGCCGTAAACAAGGAACTATGATCACAGAAGAGAAACAAATCATAAATAATTTCTAGGAGCATTTCGAAGACCTCCTGAATTTATCCACAGTAGAACATGATTTAGATTCAGATATAGACTGCTAAACAGCAGAAATAGATATAGAGACACCCAAATATGAAGAAATTAAGAATCTAATTAGGAAGCTTAAAAATAACAAAGACCCAAGAGAGAACAGCATAGTGGAGGAATTACTTAAAAAAGGTGCTACAGTATTGGTGAGCAAAACTAGATTAAAACTTATTAAGACAATATGGAAAACTGAGACTATTCCAGAAGAATGGAAAATTGAAATTGCATGTCCAATATTTAAAAAGGGAAATTCCAATAAAACAGAGAATTATAGAGGAATCTCATTACTGGATACATGTTATAAAATTTGACATCACTGATATTAGAAAGAATAAACTCGTATGTCGAAGAAATAGTTTGAAATTACCAATGTGGATTTAGAACAGGAAAATCCACAACAGACCATGTCTTCGCACTAAGTTAAATAATGTCAAAATATTACGAATTCGGAAAGGACCTACATCTATTTTTTGTAGATTTTAAGCAGGCGTATGATAGTGTAGACAGAGAAGAGCTTTGGAAGGCACTGGCAATTTTAGGAATACCCAAAAAATATGTGAACCTAATAAAAACATGCTATGGAAAAACATTATGCAGAGTGCGTTATTTGCAAGGCATCTCAGATCCTTTAGAAGTTAAATCCGGCCTAAAACAAGGGGACGCCTTATCACCAGCATTATTTAATTTTGCTCTCGAAAAAATAATAAGAGACATAAACGACGACCGAAGGATGGAGATAAGCAATGAACAAGTTATGTTAGCTTATGCAGATGACATTATGGTAATGGGTGAAACCAAAGAAGAAGTCATCAACTCAACATTCGAGCTCATGAATGCAAGTAAAGGAATGGGATTGCATGTATACGAGGAGAAAATTAAGTACATGTTTTTTTTGAGAAGACCGCCAAATATAGATTCCATACAAGTTGCTAATTATAAATTTGGAAAAGTCGATAATTTCAAGTACTTAGGTGTGAACATCAACTACAAAAATGATATGCATATAGAAATAAACGATCGGATCTCTAGTAGAAATAGATGATATTTCAGTACTTTCTATCTCTTGAGATCTAAGCTGTTATCAAGAGAATCAAAAATACTACTATACCATAACTACCTTCGATTTGTGATAATATACACCTGTGAAACCGGGTCATTGACTAAAGGTGATAGCAGAAGACTTATCACGTTCGAAAGGAAAGTGTTACGAACCATATATGGACCAATTTTTAATCCAGAAATACAGGCATACGAAAGAAGAAGTAACGAAAATGTAAAGATTCTTTATAATAAGCCGAACAGGCTTTCTTTTATTAAGAGAAAACGATTAGAATGGTTTGGGCATGCATGTTGAGCAGATGGGCGGTTAATTAAAAATGTGTTAATCAATAAAATAAATAAAACGAGACCCCTAGGACGACCCAAAACCCGATGGATTGACGTAGTTGCCAAGGATATAAGTAACGATAGATCAGAACGCAACCTTAGAGATAGCGTATTAGAGAGATACATGAAGAGAGATTTTGATGGCAGTGCTGGTCCTGAATGGACCGTTAAACTGATGAAGTAGAAGAAGAAAGGGATATAATATTATTGCAATGAAGTAGCTCAAGACAGTGAGAAATGAATGTGAGTTATGCAAAAATGGCCTCAAAATAGGCTGTTTGTTTAAAAAAGAAGAATATAATAATATAATTATTTAAAATTTATTTTTACCTTCTATAACTGCCGTATGATAAATTCTCTGATATTATGATTAATTCACAAACATATAGGTTTATTGCGTTTGCAAACAAAAATTATTTAAATATCATAACGAAATATTATAATAACAAGCGTATATTTATTAAGCGAATGAAACTGCACGCCGGACAGTATTATAGTTGTTATAATATGAAATGCAAAAATTATTTTCCTCGTCATTTTTAACCGACTGCGTTATAGTCGTTTACAAAGGGGGAAAAATACATTATAAATAAATAATGTTAATATTTTGAACATACAAATTTTTACGTGCTATCTCGTACGTACATAACAATTTAATTATAATGCGTTTTTCTTCTTTTTTTTTCATATACGAGTATATGTGATATAAAATGTTTTTACAACTCCAACCCGGGCCCCCGGTTACATAAATTAATCTTCGTTAATTTTGTTTGTTTTAAAAAAAAATAAAACCATAGTAAAGAATATAATTTAAATCTTGATGTACTTATTGCAGTTAGGTATTTTTTTTCAACGTTAAATATAAATGTAAATATATCATGCGCACTGTTTTAACTTTTTATCGTAATCGGAAATACATAATAAAAAATAAAAATAACAATTTTTAATCGGCGTTTCTGAATTTTAACACGGACATGTTTTTGGTCTGAATACACAATAATAAACTTAAAACACTATGAGTTCCAGTCTTATAAAAAAATAAAAATATGTGTAGACTCAAATAAGTATGATATGTACCACTGATGAAATGAATAAATAATAAATATTATGTTATAAATAATAAATATTATGTAATAAATAATACAAATAAATTGTTTAAAAAACCCTTAGCAGCTGTTTGTGTACTAAAATGGATTTTGGGTTGAGGATCTCTATGGAATTAGCGTCGTCATTTGAATATTAGGTCGTTTAATATGACATTTTTTCGACACCAGAAAGTGAACGTGAGGGGAAAGAACGACGAAAAGTAAAAGAGACAAGAGGAGAAAAAATAAATAGGGAAGTAGAGGTGGAATAAGTCATCGAAGAAAGGTAGGAAAGGAAGAAGAAAGCGAAGAAGAGATTGGGGAAAGCGTTAAAATGACGGCAAATAATAAAGAAGGGAGGGAGGATATTTTTGAAATTGAAACGATTATTTTGTTATATCGCCCACTAAGACCAAAAATATACATATGATTTTATGTCTTTCCATGTAGCGTAGAAATTTGTATTTTTTTTTTTTTTTTGGAACATATTCCCATATTTGCAGACTTAAACATGGACGTAATGCACGGTAAATAATAAATTTTGTATTTTGGTAATAATAAAAAAAATCAGTACTTAAACTTCTATAATTTGTTGGTATCAATAAAAGTTAAAATGTCGTTTTTTTTATTCTGTTAATTATTTTTAGAAGAAATCGTGTACTATTTATAAATAATAAAAAAAATGTTGTAACTACAAGAATTAATGTAGAGTGAACATATATGTAGAAAATGTAAAAATAACATTTTCTTAAAAATATTTTTTAAAGTGGTTCATTTGCTTATTTTTAAAATAATAATTGTTCTACAAGAATTATGTATTGAATATTTTTTAAGTAGCATACAAATTTTTACAAATTGTATTCTGTGCATATTTAGCAAGTCTTATAGTTTTGTGAATTATCGTTAAAAAAACCCTATTATTGCTCAAACTTCCACTCTTGGGTGGCACGTGAAGGAATTGAGCAATAATAATAAAATTTAATACATATACTTTTGACATGTCACTTAACAAATGTAGAGGGTCAAGACTCAGTAATTGTTATATAAAAAATATAATAACCACCCTAGTATACATGCATCTATCAATTACCACGGAAATTAAATAATCTTGTTAAACATTTAGCAATTTCAATAGGCAATAGGCGGAATCATTACAATTACAGTTATTCACTAGATAATATCATAGATTACCATATATCTGGAGACAATTATCGGGTTGTAAAGAACCCATGGTTTAATAATAGAAAATATTGTTAAAGTTTTTGAGATTTTACCATAGTACTCATTACTGTTGTAAAAAGATAAGAAACAGTTTTCTTTACTTTACGAAGTTTTTTGGAGTTGATCCCCGCAGAATAGACTACACGACAAATTCAACGTTGGCGTTTGTGACTGTCGCGTTTATTCTGCAGACCATAATGTTCAGCACTAACTGCAGCAGTAAATGCTCGTGGTGAATTAACGATGACATTTTTCGGTAGTATTCGTATAGTGGTGGTACACACACACACATACACACACGCACATACAAAAACTGCTCTTAACAATTATTATTATTTATATCTACGTTAAATGCGAAATCCGCAACCGATGTTGAAAAAAAAACATTAACGAGATAGCGAGAAAACCATAATTTTAAATCAAATGTTAGAAATATGTCTTTTTTAAGATTTTCGATGGTTGGTATAGTGAAAATAATATTTCTTTAGGTATTATTTAATTTCAACACTAAAATGTGGTTCTATTACTTGAATAATATGTATCAAAATACTTCCCGCGTATTATATTACTATATTACACTATCTCGTTATTGATTAAATAATCTAATATTTTATATTTTACGTGCGTATACATACTCAGGCGATTCAGCAAGCGAATAAACCACGGATGACATGTTTGGAAGAGGGTTAACGCTTATATACAGATTATGCCCGTATATAATAGTCTGTTCATAGAAAACCATCGCGAATTAATGCACTACGTATAATATTATTACAATGTACTTAACGCGAGATTATGAATTATCACGGTTGATACGTCACTATGATATAACAGTGTTTCGTTGTGTACCAGTGGTGGCTAAAATTCGGCTTCCGTCATAATGTGGAAATCTAGTCTTATTTCCGACAATAAAAGTGTTCAACATGAATGTTACGATTTTTTTTCGTTATTGCGATATTTTAATATGATAAACTGTGCCACGGTCTCGCTTGGTTTTGTCACTATGATGTGTGATTTTATTTTCTGTTTGTTTTACCGCGATCATTAACTTTGGAATTTAGGAATTTAGGTTTTTAATGGAAAATTTTGCATAGTTGGTGTACCATTTATTGAAAGGTTATTTTTTTTGATTTTCCTTGTTCTTTTATAAACAGTTAAAAAAAAAATCAAGGAAAATTTTCGCAATAGTTTAAAAAATTGCACATAGTTGTCATTTTCATCGAATACTAATATTAGCGATTTCTGGACTTTCGGATTGTTTGACTATTTTTGTAAGTTGATAATAAGTTTTTTAAACGTCTAGTTTTCTTATTTTTATTTGGTTTTTTATAAGTAACATTTATATAGTTCAGCTAAAATACTCAAAAATATAGCAAGAGTCATTCATGGTAATGTAAAATGTAGAATATAATTTATTTAATAAAAAGTTGTTATAAGCCTTTAAAGTTCAAAATTTGACAGAAATCTTATATATCTTCTTATAATCTTATATGATCTTATAAATCAGGGGATGGTTTCTACTGTTTTTAGTAGTAAATTTTGACTAGTCGGTGCATAGAGGAGGTCATTGTTTTATTTTTCTTTACTACAATAACGATTTATCTTAGTTTTGATTTTGTTTTATGTTTTAATTTAGTGACAAATAATTGTAATTACTGTTGGCATATCCTGGCGTATTTTGAATTTTTAGTTCTATTTTGAACATTTTAATTTATTTAGAAATTTTTAGAGTTTTACGTGTATAACAATTTTTAAGTTACTACATTTAAACAAATGTTCGTATTATACTATTGCAATAACTTTTTTAAATTATTGTTTTGTAGGTTGTTGACTAACGACATAGTATTATGGTTGAACAATTGTTGCAAGAACGATGTGGTCGCCAGTTGTCTGCTTGCGTGCGGATGAACACCAGACTGGCCGGTGCAGAGTTCGAATTAAACTGTGGCAAGAGACAAAATTCCCGAAGATCGAACACGGACCAGAGGGGAGAAAGAGGTGGACGTCGTGTACGCGGTATGTTCGACCGGGAGGACATCGATTTGGACCTGGATCTCAAATATCACCTGCAGACGTGCACGTGTTCTTGCAATCACATGGGGTTCGGAAATTATATGGACTACTATCAGGTCGGCTTAAAATATATTTATTCCAACATATCTATGTTAAAAAAAAAAGAAAAAAACACGAGCGTATATATATATATTATGATTTGTGTGAGCTTACACGTTTTCCCCGTAAACGTTCAATTTTTAAACGCATATCTACATATTTATTATATATTCACCGTGATTAATTTATATTTGCTTATTTAATCACTCGAAAAACATTTTGAGCCCCGCGGCAATTT